TCCTTTAACTCCCTTAGCTACCTTTACTACGTTTTACATAATTCATTAGTGTTACAAATAGTAGAATAGTGTTTGAGTGATGCAATAAAATATTTTGGCTTTGGAACAAGCCCTTAATCTAATTTTTTTTCAGACGAAATTTTGGAGCGTTTACAATTCAGAAGATGAAACAAAAATAAGAAAATCATACCGATTATATTCGTAGAACCATTTTTACCATTACAATATTTTCTATTCGTTCCAATTTAGTTGGAAATACATCATGATTTACTTTAGTAGTCGTTAGATAAGCAAAAATAAAATAGATCAATTTAAGCGTAAATTGCTCTTCTAAATACAGTAATAAAAGCAAAGGCTCTGCACAATACTCATAGTCAGTATCAGAGGTTCAAAGAAATTCCTTTCATCACAGGTCAAATAGAAAAGTTTGTTTGAAATGATTTTCAGTAGCAGACAAAATCAAGGGGGGAAAAGCGGATCCAAGGATCCGAGGATCCGCTTTTTCCCCCTTGGACAAAATAGTATTAAAGTATCTTCACTACAGTTTTCAAAGAAATCAACAAAAATTTTGTTAACAAAATTTATAGTGTTAAATATTGTTAAATTTCTGTTCAAAACTAAGGATACACATAAGATACAAGAAGTAAACGCTGCTAAAGGAGCTAAAGGAGTTAAGGGAGCTAAAGGAGCTAAGGGAGCTAAAGGAGCTAAAGGAGTTAAAGGAGTTAAGGGAGCTAAGGGAGCTAAAGGAGCTAAGGAAGCTAAAGGAGCTAAGGTAGCTAAAGGAGTTAAGGTAGCTAAAGGAGCTAAGGGAGCTAAAGGAGTTAAGGGAGCTAAGGGAGCTAAAGGAACTAAGGAAGCTAAAGGAGTTAAGGGAGCTAAAGGAGCTAAAGGAGCTAAGGAAGCTAAGGGAGCTAAAGGAGTTAAAGGAGCTCAGGGAGCTAAGGGAGCTAAGGAAGCTAAAGAAGCTAAGGAAGCTAAGGAAGCTAAAGGAGCTAAGGGAGCTAAAGGAGCTAAGGGAGCTAAAGGAGCTAAGGGAGCTAAGGAAGCTAAGGAAGCTAAGGGAGCTAATGGAGCTAAAGGAGTTAAAGGAGCTAAGGGAATAGAAGGAGTAAAAGCTCACATATAATATAGAAAAAAGTAAACCGGGATAAAATAAATTTTTCGTGGACCTATGCAAATTTATAGAATTAGTATTTAAATATAATTTCGGTGTAAGTGAAAATCATTAAATATTATCAATACAACATTGTTACCATCCATTATAGTATGAAAAGTATTGAGATAATTTATTAATGAAATAGTAATGTAAAACAAATGATTGAATGTTAAATAATTTTACATATGTTGTTAGTATTATATGCCTCATAAAATAATTGATTAGTTGTTGATTGAATAGAAAATTATTCGTGACATGATAGATGACATTACGAAATTTGTTTTATAACAAATAAAATGAAAGATGTTCAAAAGTTAAATAAAAGTATACATTTAAAAAAATAAATAAACAAATAAGCAGAAAACAATAACACATAGATGAACCCAATAGAATTTAAGTACGCATATAGTTAGAAAAAAAATAGAAAAAAAACAGAAAAGAACAATATAAGAAAGAAGATACAATAATTAAGTAAATAATATATGTTCAGACGAAAGAAAGGCTGGACTGCCATCAATACAAACAACACTATCGTAATGTGGAATATTTGGATCATAAAAGAGATGTAATTGATCTTCAAGAAAATCAGAACCAGGAATAAGTAGAGGTTTTTTTTCGAGTTCATGAATAATTATATTTTTATTGATGATAACGGCTGTAGATGAAAGTGCAAGATGGTCGGCATATGTTCCATCTTTACTCATTTGTTGAATGTAATTTTCTATCGTTGAATACATTTCATCAATAAATGGTGTAAAATCGTTCATATTTTGAATTAAATAGTTTATTGTTTCAGATCTGATATTTAAATGACTATTTTCGTGTCTATAAAGTTGATGTGAAATTGCACGAAAGAAACAATTACCATCTGCTATTATATTAATTTTTTTTAAACCTATAATAGAAAGTTGATCATTAAAAGTAAATGGGTGTCTTTTTATTTCTAAACAATTTCCTTTTTTTATATTAGGATAATTACGAAGAAATAATCTTTGTTTTTCTTTTAAAACATTATTATGAATGTTGACAGTTGATGCAACTTTTACTTTTTTAAACATATGATTTGATTTCACTGTTGTATTTTTTTTTCTTTTATTTGTTTTTTTAGAAATTTCCAGGAATGACAATGAACTATGTAAAGACGTATCTGTATCCATCTTTTCATCGTTATTGAACTCAATCTCTTTGTTCGATTCTTTATCTATATTTTCTATATCAATAGAACAAACTAATGCATCATGAAAACTATAAAATATTCCTGTTACATCTCGATATTGAACTTGATCTAATATAAAATTAGAATAAATACAATCAAGGCTTGTTAAATTATTTGTCGTAGACATATCTTTAAATATATTTACAAAACCTAAATTTTGCAAATTTGTTTCAATAGGTTTTGATTTATTTTCAAGACTATCTTCATTAAAATCGCCAATAAGAAGAATATTTTTATCAATGTTAATTTTTTTTAAATATTGAATTAAATTTACAATAAATTCTTTTTTATCCTGTTGTGGTGATCGATAACATACAATAATAACTATTTTATTTTTTCCTATTTCAACAGTAATACATTCAAGATTTTCATGTGCATATGAATCATTTTTTTTTATAGGAATAGTTTCCCGAAAATATATAGCAACACCACCACCTTTTTGTGAATGAAGTGAATGGTTTGATACAAATGAACATGCTCGTGTTTTATGAATAAAATTATAACCAATTATTTGAAGATGATCCAATCGATTATCATCTTTCAACCATGTTTCTGCTAGACAAATCAAATCTGTTTTATGTAATAAATGGTAATTAGAAAACGCCTGAAAATTATTTTTTAATCCTTCAATGTTGTGAAACAATATATTTAAAAATTGTGGAGATTGTTGATATATTAATCGTTTTTTTCTCATTATTTTCATTTGAGAAAGAACTTTGTCAACATTTTCGTTACAGTAGAATTTGTTGACGTGTAAATCAATAAGAAACAATCCTTCTAAATTACGAACACGTGATAATGCTGTGTATCCCATTCCACTTCCGAATAAATCTTTCGTACTAATAACAACTTGATCAACAGTAATTCCTTGAGCTTTGTGTATAGTCATTGCCCAGCTTAGACGTAAAGGAAATTGTTTTGTTCCTTTTTTTGATTGTGAATTATAGTCTAATTGATCAATAGTGTTACTTTCTCGTATGACACATATTGTGTCTTGTCCATGACAATGTGGACAAGTAACTCGATGAAGACGTCCAACTTTAGGTGAATCACATCTGATTATTATATGAGAAATGTTTCCATTATTATTTTCTACAAATTCTACAATATGACCTGTCACACCATTAGCTAAACCATCATTGACACAAATATTTTTGGTTATCATTACTTTAGCATGTTTAGCAAGTTGTAGTGGTTTATTTATTCTTTTCGTATGTTTAGATTCATTTTGATTTATTTCTTTATCATTCTTATCAACTTCATAAAATGTTCGAATATTGGTACAAATTTTTTTAACCATCTCCTCGTTATGTATATCAACCTGAGCATTTCTAGCAAAAAGATGTAATGCTTCTGGATGATATTCTTTGTTTAAAAAACGTTGATAGCATTTTTCAAGCATATCACGATCTTCTTTACTCATATCTTCTTTTTTTTTAATTTTTCGAATACGATTAAGCATTTGTGAAAATGAAACATTTGTNATTCTTTCCATCTAAGAATTGTTTGACGATCTTCGTCATATGAGCCTTGACCATCTGGAAATAAATGAGGAAAGGCTAATGCTTCAATTGTTTTATCTGTTAATAATGAACTTAATTTATTTTTTTCAGCTGGTGCTACTACGCATGGTTCTTTATCAAACAGCAGAAAATCGTTAAAATCACATGGTTGAGTACATGAATCTGTACCAATATTATATTTAGTACGAATGTCTTTATCATCCTCATATATTTCTTCATCACTGTCAATAGTATTATTAATATCACCCAAAGCTAATCTTTTTAGATGATTTTCGTTTGATACTTCTGTTTCTTCAATGACATTTTCTTCTTCATTGGTGTCAACATCCATTGATTCAATTACTGACTCACTATTATTTTCATAATCTTTTTCTTGATCAGAAGTAAGATAATTTTCATGAATATCATTTATCTTTATACTTTTATATCCTGGATGCATCTTAGTTAAAACGAATAGAGCATCTGTGACGTCATGTGGATTTATTAATTGTTCTTCCCACACAGCTTTATACTTAAGTCGACGTTTCAATTGTAATCGAACCATCATCGATTTATCAACTGGACGAGGCAATGTAGTTACAGTATCTTCTACATCTGATGGTACACAATGAAGTGGTCCTTTAGTACCTTTTTGTGCCAATCTACTTGATAGTTTGCCCGATGTTAAATTTACAATTTTCATAAAAGGTAATCGTAAAGCAATTAAATGTTTTTCAAGATTATTTAATTTTTTTAATTCAGATGGAATGTCACACACTTCCAATTTATTCAACAATGATCGACTAGGCATTTGTTGTTTCTTTATTTTGTCTGAACATGATTTACAAATCCACGTTTGTTCTGTTGACGATGAACACTTAAAGTAAGATTGCATATGTTTTATTATTTCATATGACATGTTTTGTTTTATATATTTCTCTTCAACGAATGGTATCACTTGGTTACGAAAAAGTGTTAATTGACATGATATACAAACATAATCAGGTCCTTCTCGAGTTATTTGTCGAAATCTGTTCAAAGTATTCATGTATAAATTTTTATGTTTTATTATACACTTACGACTTTGAACAACAGCATATTTTTTTAAAATACGTCTACGTTGATTATAAAGTCGTCTTGAATTTTGTCTCGTCAATGTATTATTTTTATGATACCAATTCATTGCACGTTCAATTGTTTTCAATCGTATCATTGAATCAAATTTATACTTCCTCGAAACTTGTTTTTTTGAACGTGCTTTATATTCATTACGAAATTCTGAATTATTATGATATTTATTCAAAATATGAATCTTCGATCTTGTTTTGATTTTATTACGAAATGTTGTATTATTATGATATTTATAAAAACTATTATCCTTTGATTGTGCTTTAATTTTTTCACGAAAAGTTTTATCATTATGATATTTTTGGAAATTATCTTTCTTTGAATGTGATTTAATTTTTTCACGGACATTTGAAGCAGCATGATATTTCGTTAAAATATGTAAATTACTTCGAGTTTTTTCTTTGCTACGAAAATCAATATTGTTCTGATATTTATTGTGATAACATTTTTTTAAACGTTCATATTCATTTACACGAAATGAAGCATTATGAGAAGTTTTTTTCTTCAACCAATAGCTTTGCCTACTAAGTTTTGAGGTAGATATTTCATTATGAACATTATTTCTTGATTTAATTTTTTCCTTTCTGTTTTTTAACTGCCTTTTTCTTTCGTTATCTCGACGACAAACTCGTGATACAATTTTGTTAACAATATCTTTGACAATTTTTTGATCATCACTATGTGCGTTTATTTGTAATGAATTATAACATGTAATAGGTACATGTGTGTTTTGTCTATAATTGACGCAGCTTGAATGAATTAAATCATCTTTTGATATATTTAATGTCTTTCGCACACATGGAACATCTTTATTGGTGTGTTTAAAACTTAAAAATTTTCTGAAAGCTTTTACAGTTAGAATTAATATTCTCCATGAACGATTAATATCTAAACGAACTTTTTCTCGTCGTTTGTACGCTTCTTTTCGCGTCTTAACTTTTGACGATATTGACTTTTTGCGAACCATATATGATTCAATCACATACGGGAAAATATGTAAAAGTAAAGTTGCTTACACTTTCTCGTTAAGATTAAGCACGTAAATTAGCTAAATACGGCTTATTCTCCTTAGTGAGAAATAGAGATTATCTCTTAACTTAATGAGATAATACAAATAAAGTTTCCTTCAAACTAAATCTTCTATATTACTTAGTGAAGATATAGTTCATACTAGGTAAGAAACTTTAGAAAGTCGAAAACTTGGTGACTTTCTTTTAAACAAGATTTTAATTTAATATTTCGTTTTTTATTGTTAAATTAAGCTTAAACACAATACAATCTAGAATTTGTAAAAAAAAAAGATATCAACAACAATAACATTATAAGATCTAAAATGACAGTATGTAAAAACTACGCATATGAAAAAGAATTACACCAAAATTTGCGTCGTTGATTAATTACACAATCTAAAATACGTAAAAAAACAAATAATAAGATCAACAATATACTATCAGATAAAATAAGATTTCATCACATTTGCACGAACATATGTAAATCATAATAACACATAAAAAATTTAAATTAAAAGAGAGTCAATCTAAAATAAATTTCAAAAAATTCGAATATCAAGAACATAATATTTGATAAAAAATGTTTGTATAACAATATAAAACAAATGTAAAATTAAAATAATAGCAATAATATAGTATGAGGTGAAGTTGCTTTATGCTGCAATTATATTCATTAAAAGAATTAAAACGAAGTGTTTTCTATCTAAAGAAAAAGATACGATAATCTAAAATAAATTGAACAATGATTACGATATTAATAACATATTATTCTATGAAACATGTATATATCATAATAGTACATTTTAAAAAATTAAAGAAAAATTTTTTGAATATAAGTTAAAAATTGAAGCTATCTAAAATAAATTTAAAAATACTAAAATATCAATGACATACCTTTCAATGAACAAATGTCAATATCAGAATAACACATTTTAAAGAAGTATCAAAAGGCATTGTTTTTTTTTATCTAAATAAAAGGATGAGACAATTTAAAATAAATTTTACTAATATTGGTATATCAATAACATATTATTCGATGAAACATATATATATCACAGGAGCAAAAAAAGAGTTACGGAAATTTTTCCGAATGTCAATGAAAGTCGGGAACAATCTAAAATGAATATAAAACGTATTATTATATCAGTAACATATTATTCGATGGAATATGTTTATATCACAATATAAAACAAATCTAAAAATTAATATAATAGCAATAATGTAATATGAGGTTAAAATACTTTATGTTGCAATTGTATTTTTTAAAAAGAACTAAAATGAAGTGTTTTATATCTAAATAAAAAGATATGATAATATAAAATAAATTGAACAATGATTACGATATTAATAACATATTATTCCATGAAACATGTATATATCATAATAGTATATATAAAAAAAAAATAAAACAAAAATTTCTTGAATGCAAATTATAAAATGAAGCGTTCTAAAATAAATTTCAAAATATTAAAATGTCAATGGCATACCTTTCAATAAAAAAATGTCAATATCAGAATAGCACATATTAAAGAAGTATCAAAAGGCTTTATTTTTTTATCTAAAAGGATGAGACAATCTAAAATAAATCTTAAGAATATTGGTGTATGAATAACATATGATTCGATGCAACATATTTATATAACAATATAAAACAAATCTAAAAATTAATATAATAGCAATAATATAATATGAGGTTAAATTGCTTTATGTTGCAATTGTATTTTTTAAAAAGAACTGAAATGAAGTGTTTTATATCTAAATAAAAAGATACGATAATATAAAATAAATTGAACAATGATTACGGTATTAATAACATATTATTCCATGAAACATGTATATATCGTAATAGTATATATAAAAAAAATAAAACAAAAATTTCTTGAATATAAATTATAAAATGAAGCTATCTAAAATAAATTTCAAAATATTAAAATATCAATCGCATACTTTTCAATAAAAAAATGTCAATATCAGAATAGCATATATTAAAGAAGTATCAAAAGGCATTGTTTTTTTTTATCTAAATAAAAGGATGAGACAATTTAAAATAAATTTTACTAATATTGATATATCATTTTGAAATATTCTGATATAAATTGTATAGTATGAAGTAAAATAAGTTTTATTCACAATTGCATAAAAATGCGTCTATTATAATTGCACATATTAAACAACAATCAAACGAAATATTTTTTGAATTCATATTAAAAGATGAAGCAAACTAGAATAAAGGTAAACAACATTAGAATATGAACAACATATTATTTGATAAAACATGTGTATATAAACATTACAAATGTTTTAAAGAAAAATTAAATCGAATTCTCTCTAAATAATTATAGAATCTAAAACTTATAGTACGCGATAATAATATATGAATGACATAATAATAGGTTAAATGTCTATATAGGAGTTACAAATATGGAGAGAAAAAAAATAAAAAAGAACTTTTTCATCTAATTAAATATGGTATCCATTGAATACTACGTGACTAGATAACCTCTATAAAAGTTCAGAAGTCAATTTTTTTAAATAACAAATATATATGTATTCTCATAGAGGGCTCGGTGAATTTTAGCTATTGAATGTTTAATTATATTTATGATTCATTATCTGTAATCAGCTGTGAGTAAATAGTTCAGTGGCTCGCATGTACTGATGATGTCATTTTAATTATCTGGAAGCTTGAAAACGGCGAATTCCTTTTAAATTCGTTATTTTGGAACGACTACTTTGATCGAATCATATATTTAATCAAAGAATGGAAAAAAATATATAATTACTTCGAAATCGACATTTCCACATTGCGTTTCAATGATTATTTTCTAAACTTTCGTTCTCGAGATCAATGCCTCACAAAATGACGAGATATGATACGTACGTCGAGATGTTTTTGAATAAGAAATCCTGTGTGAAGCAAGAATCTCTCGAATTGTCGAAAAACCGGTATTTCGTAGAAAACCAAAAATTCAATTGTCGAGCTAATAGCAATCGTCATTTCTAGTTGAATTGTGTGCACACTACCGAACATAGACACTTCTTTGCATTATTCGAATTCGAAAAAGTGCTTTTTTGAAAAGTCAGCTGATAAAGTCATCACACTATTGAAAAGCCTTATAATAAAATTCATCACTACGAGAACTCTATGAAAGTCTATTAACGCTTTTGTGAAAGACAATTTCAATTGATTGTTTAATTCTTTACATGATTCATTATCTATAATCATCTGTGAGTACAGCTGTTTAACATATGAAGAAATATAATGGCGCTTAACTTTTCTCTTAGTTTTCGTTTTAATTATCTCAAAATGAAAAAATGCAAAGTCCTGAAAAACATTTGTCATTTTGGAAATCTATTTTCGAGGAAATTAAACAGGCTTTGGAGAAAAACTCTAAAGATATTATCAGTTCGAACTCGGTACTGTGATCTCGCGTTTCAACGACTGTTTTAGCATTTATAGTTCTCGAGATCATCGCGTCAGAAAATGAGAAGATGTGATGCGTACGTCAAGTAAGGAAAAAAGAAAGAAAACTAGATGGTATTCGAGATTCGACTCGAATACGAAATGCGGTGCGAAGCACGAATCTCGAGTTCGGGAAATAAAACGATGTTTCGTAAAAAACGAAAAATCGATTGTNGTAGATAAAAGATATAGCTTGAGTCGGCAGCAAACCGAGAATCTGATGAAAATAAACGTGCTTTACAATATTCTTTCCATTTTAGATTTGATTCACGATCTTCATCAAATGATCCTTTCCCGTCTGGAAATAAATGAGGAAAAGCTAATGCTTCAATGGTTTTATCTGTTAACAATGAACTCAATTTATTTTTTTCTGCCGGTGCTATAATACATGGTTCTTTATCAAAAACAAGAAAATCGTTATAATCACTTGGTTGAGTACATGAATCTGTACCAATATTATATTTAGTACGGATATCATTATTATCTTCATCTATTTCTTCATCACTATTATTATTATTATTATCAATATCGCCTAATGCTAATGACTTCAAATGATTTTCATCAGATGTTACTTTTTCTTCAATTGAATTTTCTGTTTCAATAATATCAATATCCATTATTTCAACCACTGAATTAGTATTATTTTCACAATTATTGTTCTGATCTGAAGTAAGATAACTTTCATCAATTTCATTTATCTTTATATTTTTGTATCCTGGATGCATCTTTCTTAAAATTAATAATGCATCTCGTACGTCATTTGGATTTATTAATTGTTCTTCCCACACTGCTTTATATTTTATTCGTCGTTTCAATTGCAATCGAACCATCATAGATTTATCAACTGGACGTGGCAATGTGGTTACAGTATCTTGCACATCTGATGGTACACAATGAAGTGGTCCTTTAGTACCTTTTTGTGCTAATCTACTTGATACTTTTCCTGATGTTAAATTTACAATTTTCATAAATGGTAATCGTAAAGAAATTAAATGTTTTTCCAAATTATTTAAATTTGTTAATTCAGGTGGAATTTGACAAACTTCTAATTTATTCAATAATGCTCGACTTGGCAATTGTTGTTTTTTTATTTTATATGAACATAATCTACAAATCCATCTGTGTTCTGATGAAGATGCATCAATAAAGTAAGATGGAATATATTCACTCATTTCAAACGACATATTTTGTTTTACATACTTGTCTTTCATAAATGGTATTACTTGATTACGAAAAAATGTTATTCCGCATGAAATACAAATATAATCAGGTCCTTCTTCAATAATGTTTCGAAACTCTTTCAACTTACCTATATATAAGTGGTTGTGTTTTAATGTGCATTTATGACTTTCAATGATACTATACTTTTTTAAGATACGTCTACGTTGATTATAAAGTTGTCTTGACTTTTTTCTCGTCAATGTATTATTAATACTATACCAATTTAATGCATCTTGAATCATTTTCAATCGTATCGAATTATTAGTGTAATATCTTTTTAAAACTTCAGTTTTCATGCGTGCTTTATATTCATTTCGAAAACTTGAATTATTATGATATTTATTTAAAATAGTAATCTTTGATTGTGTTATCAGTTTGTTCCGAAAATCTGAATCATTATGATATTTATTTAGCATAGTAATCTTTGATTGTGTTTTAAGTTTATTTCGAAAATCTAAATTATTATGATATCTATGTAAATTATTATTCTTTGATTGACTTTTAAGTTTATTTCGAAAATCCGAATTACTATAGTATTTATTTAACAAATTAATCTTCGATTGTGATTTAATCTTTTCACGAACATTTGAATTTGTATGATATTTTATTGAAACATGCGAATTTATACGAATCTTTTCTTTATCACGAAATGGAATATTAGTTTTATATTTCTGTTGATAAAATTTTCTTAAACGTTCAGATTATTTTCGACGTAGTATCCCATTCAGAGAACAATTTTTTCTCCACCATTTGCGTTGTCTACTTGTTGTTAAGGTAGAATTTTCATTACTAAAATTATTACCTATTTGTTTTCGACACTGTCTGTTTTTCAATTGTCTTTTACGTTCGCTGTCTAGACGACAAACTCTTGACACAACTTTTTTAACAATATCTTTGATTACATGTTGATCATCAATTTCTTTATGTATTTGAATTTTTTTACGTAGAGTATCTCTCACATCTTTGCTATTTCTATAATTAATATAGTTTAAATCAATTAAATCATTTTCTGATGCACTCAACGATTTTTGAGCAAACGAATGTGCAAATGAAATATTTCTAATACTACGTCTCAAACTTAAAAATTTTTTGAACGCTTTTACAGTTACAATCAATATTCTCCACGAACGACTAATCTTTGAATGAACTTCTTGTCGTCGTTTATAAGATTCTCTTCTTGATTTCGCTTTCGATGCAGCTGATTTTTTTCGAACCATGTTTAATTCAAATATGTGTAAGTAAATATTTCCAGCTAATAATCGTTACACTTTTACTTTTAGATTAAGCAAATAAAAAAGAGCTAAATATTGCTTATTCTTCTTTTTGATAATCACGTTTTACCTCCTAACTTGATGAGGTAATAAGAAAAAATTAGCACATAAAAGAGCTAAATATGACTTATTCTTCTTTACGAGAATTACGTTTCACCTCCTAACTTGATGAGGTAATAAGAAAAATTAAATTTGCTTCCAGATAATTCTTCGACACTGCTTAGTGAAGATATAGCTACAGAAAGTCAAAAACTTGGCGACCTTCTTTTAAACAAGAATTTAATTCAATATTTTATTTTTATTGTTCAATTATGCTTATCCCAAATACAATCTAAAAATAAACAAACAATCCATAAAAAGATGAAACAGTAACATAAGTTTCAATTAAACGTGTATAACATAATGTAAAAATTCTAAAAATCAAAAGAAATTTTTAACCTATTTAATTCTAGTCTCCATTGAACCCTGTGTAACTTTAAGGCCTTCACCGAAGCAATCGAGTCAATTTTTTAAATAACAAATGCATTTATTATGTTAGATGGCTCTGTCAGTATTTCATTATCTCTATGATTCATTAAATTGAATGCAATGTGAATTAACATATGTTGATGACGTCATTTTAATTATCTCGAAGATCGAAAAACGATAGTTTCCTTTCACAATTGTCATTTTGGAACGTTTTTTGTAGCCGAACGTCACGGTCGATTAAAAATTAGAATAAATATATCGCAAGTTCGATCTTGATACTTTCATCTGCAGTTTCAATGAATTTTCTATCATTTATGGTTCTCGAGATCATCGTAACACAAAATGACGACTTGTGATGCGTACGTCAAGTAAGTAAAAAATAATAAAAAAAAAAAAAAAACTCGCGACGAACTACATAAATGCTTCTGCTTCGCATCGCATTAAAAACTCGCGAACGACTACAGGAATGCTGTGCTTCGCACCGCATTAAAAAAACTCGCGACGGACTACATAAATGCTGTGTTTCGCATCGCATTAAAAAAGTAAACTCGCGCACAACTACATAAATGCAGTGCTTCGCACCGCATTAGTAAAGAAAGAAAGAAAGAAAGAAAGATATAAAGAAAACTCGCGATGCAGTACTATAAAGTGCTTCGCACCTTAAAAAGTAAACTCGCGCACGACTACATAAATGCTGTGCTTCGCACCGCATTAAAAATAAGTTGATATGCTTTGATAGAGTTCTCTCGATGAAGTGTTTTCTAATGGCGTCTTCTCAATTATTTTAAATTCCATCAGCTGATTTAAAAAACTGACTCAACTGATGTAAAGTGCTCTTATTTACTATGTGTTCACTAATACATCGTCCGAACGATTGTTCGTCTTTTCTGATTGTTCGAGTTTTTGAGAATTTAGAATTCGTGCTTCGCACCGCATTTCGTATTCGAGAGAGTATCGAATACCATCTAGTATGTTTATTTATTTCTTATTAGACATACGCATCTAAAGTTGACGTTTCATGTCGCAGTGATCTTGAGAACTGAAACTCAGAAAATCTTCTTTCAAGCGTTAGATGAAAGTATCGTGATCTAACCGAAACCTCCTTTTTTTCATTTTTTGTTATGTTGTCCCGGTCGCATATAAATAGCTTCCACAAAAGACAAATTTTTGAAGACTTTGATTGTTTTCAAGCTTCAAGATAATTAAACCATAAGAAGTAAGGCGCCATTCACTCTTCTCATGTATGAAACAGCTGTAATTACAGCTGATGAAGGATAATGAATCATATCGATAATTACACGATCAATCGATGATGCTCTTTAAAAGCCGGTGGACCGGCTTTTATAGATTTCGCGCGATGATGAATTCTAAATAACTACTTGTCGATCTGTGCTAGATTTCGACCAGTTGATTGAAGGAAATGCACATTTTCCATTTACAACAATCGACAGAAAGCTCTCCTCTCTATGAAGCAAAAACAACTTCAAGAGAAACATGGTTCAATTTTGAGTCTATAATCGATTTATCGTTTTTTTCTCGAAAAATCGACTGTTTCACTTATTCGATATTCGTAATTCGCACCTTATCTCGTATTCTCGACAAAGTCTACATACCATCTAGTTTCTTTAGTTATATCTTGCTAGACGGTAAGCAAATTTTTTCAGATTTTGTGTCACAGTGATCTTGAGAACCGAAACTCAGAAAATCTTTGTTCAAGCGTGAGATGAAAACATTGGGATTGAACCGAAAACTTCTTGTTTCAATTTTGTTATGATGTCTCGTTCACATAAATAGCGTCCAAAAAAAAACAGATTTTTGAGGACTTAAATTTTTTTCAAGCTTCGAGATAATTAAAACTAAAGTTAGGCACGACTCTCGTTATTCATATATGAAATAGCTGTAAGTACAATTGATGACAGATAATGAATCAGACCGATAATTAAATGATAAATTGACAATGTTCTTTAGAAGAATTTGACAGGTATTTACAGAACTATCGCAGTTATAAATCTCAGAATAGATACTTTCCAGCTACTATCAAAGTTCAATCAGCTAATCAATGGAAATACAACTTTTCCAGTTATAACGATCGATAGAAACCTCTGCTTTCTGTGGAACAGAAACAATTCCAAGAGAAACATCATTAATCCGACTTTAAGTCTCTAATCGATTTTTCGTTTTCTTCAAAAACTTGATTATTTGACATAGTCGATATTCGTGCTTCGCATATTATCTCGTATTTTCGGCTTTGTCGAGATGCCATCTAGTTCTTTCTTACTTTCTTTACGTACGCATAAAAAGTTGTCATTTTCTACTGCAATGATTTCGAGAACAATAAATAAAAAAAATACTTGTTTAAACGCGGAGTACAGGTATCGAGAACGAAATACTACCATTTTCTTCGAAATCTATCGCACCATGTCCCGTTCTCGAGCGAATATCGTCCAAAAAAGACAAATTTAATAGAATTTGGAGCTTCCTTCCTTTCGAGATAATTAAAATGAAAAGTTTATGTGCCAATGAGCATATTATCTTATGTGATATCTTTTCTTTCTCAATATGATGCTATACAATCAATGATACATAGTGTTCACAATCGCGTTACTCTTAAGTTTATCTATGCACGATTGAGCCTTATTCTCTTTCTGTCGTAATGTGCTTCTCGTTTTGTATCATCATTCACTCGTATATTATATATATTGTCCTCACCTGTCTATTCTTACGCTGTTCTCCTTACTCTACTGTTCTTCTATATCTGCTCTCTCCTTGGCCTCATCTTCTTTCTTTTCGTCATCTCTTATTTTATCCGTGTATATAAGCGTGTACTTCATATGTAAACGACACGATTGTATGATATGAAGGAATGGAATAAAGTATATCTCCATCCACACTAACATACCTTCTATCATTTATCGCCACAAGACAATTATATGATATGAAGGAGTAGGATAAAGTGTATCTCCATCTACACTATCCTCGCTTCTAACATTTTTATCGTCACAGAAATTGCAGTCCAGATTGAATTTATCGTTTGTTTTTCTGTCACAGTTATAGGACAGTGCTTTTTTGAATTATAATGCATGATTGACATAAATTCTTTTTAGCTTTTGCTAGAGAAAAATACTTGCTTAATTTTTGTATCATTTATTTTGAAATTTATTTTTTGAATTTGGGGCTTTGTTTAAATTTGAAGTCGAGTTAGGCAGCTCTTGATTAGAGCGATGACGAACTTTCATTCTTCCTAACTATAACAACTCAATTTTTCGAATTATCATTGAAGTTGTTAGCTCTATGTATGGGGATGACACTATAGAGCTAAGCTATACTATGTATATATATATATTAGCATACATACATGAATGAATATGCAGCCGAATGGATGAATATATATAGGTATATAGTAAACACGTGTATTGTGATGCAAACAATAACAGTACAACTACACGCAACAAGAAGTACGACCAGAACGAATAATGAAAACAAAGGATGACCAAGATGACGAGAATAGAAAGAATAAGTGTGTGAGTGGAACAACATGTATATAGTGTACACGGTACACACATCGATCACGCGCTGATCACACAAGTGGTCACTCAACAAATGCCGTCATGTCATAATCATATACTAGCTTAGCGTTAGTGTATATTCACTGACGCTAACAAAAACGTACGTCAATAGCTGTTTTTTTGAGAGAACTGAGCAGAAAAATTCAATTAAAATTAATAAAAATGGAGGATGTGGGTGTGGGTCTGGGTCTGGGTCTGAATCTGGGTGTAAGGTGTGAGTGTGGGTGTTGGTTGAAGACGAGAACAATATCCACACCCACATCCACACCCTCAGTAGAACATAACCAATTATAACCGATTGTGAATCTCTCAACAAAATTGTGTAATTTAATTTTTAATCGATTTTGAAAGTTATAATCGACTTCAAAATATAAATTTGAGTATAAATTAGGGAATCGATTATAATATTCAAAAAGGGATTATCTCCTCAAGTGTTTATCGAATTAAAACCGATTTTTATCGAATTATTTGTGACAACAGCGATTTGCTAGCAAACAAATCGAGCAAGTTTATCTAGAGTTCAAAATAATCGTGATTTTTGCATGAAATTTTTTCGCTAGGTATCTGGGGATACTCTTAGTAATGTTTCGATGGCTATCTCCAGGTAGTACTAACAAATTTTTTGAGAAATGTTTGACGCCGGCAGTTCAATCGTTTGAGAGAGTACGTTGAGATAATATCTGACTATCGAAGGTTTGACTAGACGAAGTGATGATAGGGGACGGGGAGATAAATAACCTTGAAGTTTAGTGTATTTTCTCCATTTTTATTTCATATAAATTATACTATATAATATAACTAAACACTGTTAATACTTTTCTTTTTTTTTCAATATTATTTTATGAATGTTGAACATATACATAACTTCTGCTTCATTGATTAACATGATATACATTTCATCTAAAACTACGT